CTCACACCTTGTGTTCCCCTGGCTGGGGTACTTCTTTCTTCTGCAGCATAGAAACTCTACTTGCTCAGCTTGTCTTTTCCTGGCAATGGTTTTTCTACGCACCTTGCTTTTATCATTTCCTGAAGGGCCCAGACTTTTGCGACTTAAAATGCAAGAAAAGACTATGTCATCCCTGCCTCAATGCAACAAAAAGTGCAATATCAAAGCTGAGTCTGGGGTGACAAATAAAAGCTATCAGTTAATATTTGAAAACTCTTCTCTCGCCACAGAACACAGAGGCTTAGACACCTCAAAGGGAGAAAGTGCCTAACTCAACCAAGGCACTCAGGGAAAGCTTCACAGTGAAGGCTGAGTCAGATCTAAGTCTCTGAGGATGAGTCAGAGCTCAACTACACAGTCAGACAAAGGGAAGGTCATTCTACACAAAGGGAAGAATAAATGCAAAGTGACAGTGTTACATGAATCAGGACTTAAATTTATCTCTCACAATTATCTAAACCATATTAAATAACATCTCATATTGAGAATGGACTAAGCACACATATAATTGAGTTAGAAGTTACTTTAGGGATTATCTAATCTAATCCCCACATATCAGAGACAAAGATTCAGGCCCCAGATGCTGACTTTTAATCCACAGTTTGAACACAAATGTGACTACAGTTAGCCTCCCACATCTACCTATAGGAGGAACTCCTACTCTCAATTTGCCCTCCCAGATATCTCCTTTGGCCAAAATTAAGTATCAATTGTATCAATACTTGTAACAAGCTTAGGAATGAGTTCTTCATCAAGATTGGGGGAAAAAAAAGTTACTCTCCAATAACTCTCTAGTAATGCTGTACTTGTATTAGCTCCCCATATATTTGTATCTCCAAGGTATGTACTATCATTTATACTTATTTTACAAATGAGGAAACCGATGCAAAGAAAGTTAAGTAACTTGTCATATAACTTAGGTTATATGTCTACTAATTGGGAAGCAGGTAGTAGATAACAAACTCTAATATCCATGCTTTTAACCCAATAGCACCACATTTTTCTTCATGTTGTTATTCAGCCTACAAATATATCACAAATATACTGGCACAAATTCACAAATACATATATACAAGGATTCTCATTGAGAGGGCCTTGTTTTTTAAAAAACTAGCAATAACTTAAATACCTACTAATAAGGGGCTAAATAAATAAATTATTGCATACTTTCATCAGTCAGTAAAAAAAATGGAAGAAAGTTATATAAGCTGATATGATCCAGTCTCTAAGAAACAAGACACAGTTAAGTTAAAAGTTAAAAAAAAGTAATAATAAAAACAAAGTATATGTAGTATTTCATATTTGGGTTTTTTACAAGGGGGTTGTATAAATAGTATTTAAGTTTGATTAGCTAAGAAGTATTTCTATAGGGCATTAGCAAGAAATGGTAGTGGTTGTCTCTGCGGAAAGAGAGGCAAAGGATCTGGGAATGTGGGGTGGAAAGAAACTTATTTTTCACTGCACACTTTTTTGTAATGTTTGCATTTTTAAACATGTACAAATAAGATTTACTCAGATTCTACAAAGTGTTTTTTTAAATTGTCAGCTGATGGGATTTATTTAAATCCAAAGATATTCAAGCTTAAGAATCATATAATTAAAGAACATAGTTACTTAAAAGTATTTTTAAACACTCAAGTTATCCTATTTGTATTTACCTACAAAATACTCTTTGAAGAAACTAGCCTGCTTAACTCCTTGCCAGGATATTGATTCATTTGTGAGTCACGAAAGAAAATAAAGAACTAGCCAGATATGTAACTAGCCTGATGCCAGTTGGTATGTGGGAGCTTAGGTGGAGAGATGTTGGTAGGGAATGAAAGGAAGGGAAGGGCATGTGGGGGAATGGGCAGAGAAGGTACCAAACTGGTAATTCCCAGTGCTGCTAAGATCCCTGCATTACGAAGCTTAGTCCCTATCATTCAAGACAGGGACTCAAAATTCAGAATTCATGAGTTACAAGACATAAAAATACTTTTCCAAATGGCCTCTTAAATCTCAACACATACCATATGCCACCATAAATACCCACAAGACAAATCCTACTTAGTGATTTGGCCCTGGCATAAACTATCCGACTACTTTCTTTCCACTCTTAGTTTGTCTCATTTTGTTCCTTATCTACGGATTAAATTTTTTTTAAAGTTTAATCAGGTGTTCATGAAATTTTACCTCTAATACTCACCAAGTTCCTCTTAATTAGGGGGGGGATGTGAACTTGGATAGCTGCAATAACCTGAGGGTGAAGGGCCATGTTACAGACTGAATGTGTTCCCCTGAAAATTCTTATGTTGAAGCCCTAACCTCCAATGTGATGACATTTGGAGATGGGGTCTTTGGGAGGTTATGAGAGTTAGAAGAGATAACAAGGGTAGTGCCCTAAGATGGGATTAATTCTCTTATAAGAAGAGGTATCACAGAGCTACTTGTTCTCTCTCTGCCACGTGAGGACACAGTGACAAAGTGGGATAGTCTCCTCATGGTATAAATAGTTGATTTAACTAAAATGTAATGAGTTGGTCTCACACAAATCTCACCTAAGAAAAAACTATCTTAATGTTCTTGGCCCAAAGATCACTTTAGAATAGACAGTCAAGTGTCCAGAGGTCAAAGTGTACTGTTCCTCAGAGAAACTATTAGTCAGGAAAAAATAAGTTGTTAAACTGTCATAGACAATTAATATCCAAGTAAATACACCTAGTAAAATAAATAAAACAACATCCAAATGGACAATACTCATTCCAGTTATATTCAAAGAAATACAAATTAAAACAAGCAAATGATAGTACCCAATAGACGTAACAATGTAGAAGAAGTCATATGATCATATTACATAAACACTTTGAAATCTAAGTGGCTAATACTAGAAGTTAGCATATTAAGATAAATAGTATGAAATGCTATGCAGTCATTTAAAATAGCAATTGTTAGTACAATATAAAAACATGGGAAATTTTGGGGCTCCTGCGTGGCTTAGTCAGTTAAGCATCTGACTCTTGGTTTCGGCTCAGTTCATGAATTTAGGGCCTTGAGATCGAGCCCCATGTCAGGATCCACACTCAGAAGGGAGTTTCCTTGGGATTCTCTCCCTCTCCCTCTGTTCCTCACTCTCTCTCTCTCATTCTAAGAAAAATAAGTAAATCTTTAAAACAAACTAACAAAAACATGTGAATTTTTAATGTTGACTAGACATGTAGAATGTTCATGAAAAAAAGTGTAATCTAAAATACTATGATTATAAATATTATAGAGTACATAGACCTATGAAAAGAACTAGAAATTACTATGCAACAGTATGTATAATTATATAGGAAATATGATTACAAATTAATTGCTTTTAAATGTTTATTTATATTATTGTTGACCTTTATTAAAAATCACAGGGATTTAGGATTTAGAGGTTTATAAATATAATCTAATTATAAGAGAAAAAATAGCCAACTTTATGAAATACAAATTTTAATTATTGAGCTTGATATTCATTACTTTCTCTTTTCTTTGTTTCAAAGAATTCAGTGAATATCATTTTTTTAATTTATTTTCAGTGTTCCAAAATTCATTGTTTATGCACCACACCCAGTGCTCCATGCAATACGTGCCCTCCATAATACCTACCACCACGCTCACCCAATCCCCCACCCCTCTCCTCTCCAAAACCCTCAGTTTGTTTCTCAGAGTCCAGAATCTTTCATGGTTTGTCTCCCCCTCCGATTTCCCCAAACTCACTTCTCCTCTCCACCTCCCAGTGTCTTCTGTGTTATTCTTTATGCTCCACAAATAAGTGAAACCATATAACTGACTCTCTCTGGTTGACTTATTTCACTCAGCATAATCTCTTTCATAATCTCATAATCATCCATGTTGATACAAAAGTTGGGTATTCATCCTTTCTGGTGGGGGCATAATACTCCATTGTATATATGGACCATATCATCTCTATCCATTCGTCCGTTGAAGAGCATCTTGGTTCTTTCCACAGTTTGGTGACTATGGCCATTGCTGCTATGAACATTGGGGTACAGATGGCCCTTCTTTTCACTACATCTGTATCTTTGGGGTAAATACCCAGTAGTGCAGTTGCAGGGTCATATGGAAGCCCTATTTTTAATTTCTTAAGGAATCTCCACACTGTTCTCAAAGTGGCTGCACCAACTTGCGTTCCCACCAACAATGTAAGAGGGTTCCCCTTTCTTCACATCCTCTCCAACACTTGCTGTTTACTGTCTTGTTGATTTTGGCCATTCTAACTGATGTAAGGTGTATCTCAATGTGGTTTTGATTTGAATCTCCCTGATGGCTAGTAGTAATGAACATTTGTTCATGTGTCTGTTAGCCATTTGTATGTCTTCTTTGGAGAAATGTCTGTTCATGTCTTCTGCCCATTTTCTGACATGATTATCTGTTCTGTGTGTGTTGAGTTTGAGGAGTTCTTTATAGATCTTGGATATCAACCCTTTGTCTGTACTGTCATTTGTGAATATCTTCTCCCATTCCATGGATTGCTTCTTTGTTTTGTTGACTGTTTCCTTTGCTGTGCAGAAGCTTTTGATCTTGATAAAGTCCCCAAAGTTCATTTTTGCTTTTGTTTCCTTTGCCTTTGGAGACATATCTTGAAAGAAGTTGCTGTGGCCGACGTCAAAGAGGTTACTCCCTATGTTATACTCCTCTAGGATTTTGATATAGATTCCTGCCTTAAGTTGCAGTCTTTTATCCATTTCGAGTACATCTTTGTGTAAGGTGTAAGAGAATGGTCAAGTTTCATTCTTCTACACATAGCTCTGTCCTATTTTCCCAGCACCATTTATTGGAGAGACTGTCTTTTTTTTAATGTATATTTTTTCCTGCTTTGTCAAAGATTATTTTACCATAGAGTTGAGGGTCCATATCTGTTCCACTGGTCTATGTGTCTGTTTTTGTGCCAGTACCATGCTGTCTTGGTGATCACAGCTTTGTAGTAAAGCTTGAACTCAGGCAACGTGATGCCCCCAGTTTTCTCTTGTGACATAACAAAATCTTATGACATGGCATATGCTTTCAGCTACAGAGACCAACTTCCTAAACCTCTGCTCTAAATTCTGTAGCTACTAATTACTCAACTTCAGTAGCCCTTTGTGGTAAGGATGGCTCTCAAGTTGTCTGCCTAACTAAAATGTCTGCTTTGATCACTGCTTTTTATTTATACTCAGAGGGACATGGGAGCTCAGGCCCAGAACCTAAGCCCTTAGTATTATCAAGAAATACTTCTTTATTCAGGTGAAAAATTATAAATTTCACTGTTCTAGTCCTTTTTTAGTATTTGCTTTTGTTGCCTAGAGGAAAGGAGAAGGGTGTGTTTTCACTCCTGTTCTTTGGAGCAATATGTCTAGAGCAGAGATACTAGAGAACACTAAAGACAGATTTGATTCAAAACAGAAAGTCAACAATCTGACAAAGTATTATTTGACCTCCTTCTTTACATTTTTATTCTCAGCCTTTTCCCCCAAGGTCCAAACTGGATGTTTCCAATCCTGAAAAAGTAATCCTGGAACAGCTGGCCCTATACTGAAAACAAACTATACTGACCTAGGGTGTGGTTATCCCAAAAGAGAGAAACTACCAAGCAGACACTGGATATTCACTCTAGAGCTGAAAAAGGAGAGGGGTATCTAAACAACACTCAATTCTCACAAGACAGGAAGGCACAGAAGCCAATTAGAGAAAAAGATGAAATCCCAGTTCCCCTTAGTCTGTTTGCGACACAGATGCACAAACCAAGTGGATTTAATGTGACAAATTCCCAAGGGAAAAAAATTCTTTTAAAAACTTTAATTCACATGGAAATGAGACAGTGTTTAATTCACCTTAAAGGAATCATTTAACCCATGGAAATAAACATGCAGACACTTGCCCAGAGAATAAAGCAATTCTACTGTCAAGTAGGCTTAAAAACAATCCTTAAAAGCACGACCTCTCTGCCTCTTTCCTCCACATGGCTCAAAATCTTCCCCTTTTGCTCGACGAAATTCAAACTCTGAAAACTTTCTATTTTTTCTTCTTTTCCACATTCTTCTTTAGTTCAGGCTAAATGGGAACTGCTTTTATTATCTTCGGTTAGTCAATTACTTGGCAGCTTATGAAAGTAGAATACAGGGTGAGCAGGGAATCTCAAAAAGTGTGTTCAAGTCCCTACTTAGTTACTAACTACATAATCATTGACAAGCCAGTTACTTCTATAAGTTTCTGTTTTCTCATCTGTAAGATACGAAGGATGAACTGCATGATTGCTACGATGCCATCAAATTCAAAAAGCTCTGTAATTGATAGGGAAAAAATACAGATGGTACCAAGAAATACTGGTAGAAAGGCATACATCCTTAAAAGCAGATGAAAAGTATTGAAAAGGTGGTGAAACCTTATATTTCATCTTTACCTGGCTTGATTTCTCAGAACTGAATCATCTCATGGAATGCATTACTCAGAGCCAAAAGACCTATAGGTCAAAACAAAGCTCTAAAAATAAAAGATGAACCTATGTTAAGAAGAGGTAACTGGGAGCCAGTGAATAAATTCCTGCAGTAGGAATTTCTTACATTCTTTAAGACGAAAACAAATAAAAATTAGGTGCCCATTTCAGTGCAGCTTTTCTTCTTGGCAGACCAGTTTCTAGGGAATAGCTTTCATTATACCAGTTCTGCATCCTGAAAGAGAAGTTATCCAGGGCTAATTTATTTTCTCACTCAGCCCTGGTTATCACAATGTAGATCTAAATCACAAACAAGTTAGGAATAAGGAATATGCAAACAAGATATAAGGAAATTCAGAATAAGTATCATCCATAAATAATTCCCAAATCCCACTCCATGAAACAGTTTCAACTTCCTCTTTATTCACAAACTTTTTCCCAAGAGATAACAGTAAGTCCCTAAACTTGCTTGTTTGATTTTTGTCCTTCTTTCTTCAATCTGTCAGAACTAAAGTACTGAAAGCTGAAATGAGTCTTCTTACTACTCATCTTGTATAGTAGTCAATTCTTTGGTAGAAGGCAACAAAAACTATTTGTATTAGTCAGCTCAGACTGTTGTAACAAAATACCATGGGCTCTGTGGCTTCAACAACAGGAATTTATCTCTCACAGTTCTGGAGTCTGGGAGGTCCAAGATCAAGGTACTGACCAATTGAGTTCCCTGATGAGGGCTCTCTTCCTGGCCTGCAGATAGCTGCCTTCTCACTAGGCCCTAGTATGGCAGAGAAAGAGGAATCAAGGTCTTTGGTATCTTTTCTTATAAGGACATCAATCTCATCGTGAGGGCTTCACCTTCATGACTTCATTGAAACCAAATTACCTCCCAAAGGCCCTATCTCCAAACACTATCAAATTGCAGGTTAGAGCATATGAATTTGTGGTTAGGATGGGGGGCACAGTTCAGTCTATAGCAAAAGAAATATCCTTTATTCAAGGATATTGAAAAACTCACAGAATCAAAGAGAATCTAACAAACCAGCAGCGTAGCTCAGTGGGCTAGGTAGCAAGAGTCAAACAACTCAAAGAGAATGGGATTATCCTAGCTTGAGTCATAGGCAGGGTACCTTGTTTAATAGTTTTAAGAGCACATCATAGAATGGGGTTGGGGAAGGTGGGCAAAAAGAGTAATTCTCCATAAAGGACAGAAATGGATTCAAGATAGCCAAAAAACCCAACAAATATCCAGAGTTCTCTGTTAAGCAAAGATTTAGAAGAAAACAACATTTCAATGCTGGCTCAACCACTCATTAACTCATCACCTTGGGTGAATATATTAGACTTTCTGAACCTTAGTTTTTGCATCGTTCAAATAGAAAAGTATTATCTGTCTAAGGGCAATACTGCACTGACTTCACAAGTTACATACAGAGCAGCAAATGAGTCCTAAATGCTCAAGAAATGTTAGTTCCCTCCTGCTGATTGGCTATATAAATCTGTATACACAGAATTTACTTTAAAAATACAAAGTAGGAGCAACTGGGTGGCTCATTCAGTTGAGTGTCTGCCTTTGGCTCAAGTTGTGATCCCAGGGTCCTAGGCTGTCTGCCCAGTGTGAAGTCTGCTTCTCCCTCACCCTTTCCCTACCACTCTGCCTGTTTGTATGCTCTCTCTCTCTCTCTCTCTGTCAAATAAATAAATAAAATCTTCAAAAAATAAAAATAAAATACAACTTGTACTATGTGGACATGTTATACCACTATAAATATTTTATATATTAGGCAATTATCTGACATCAAAGGGATAACGGGCCTTGAAGCAGGCTTAAATGTTTAACTTTTGGTAAATCCTCCTGGACTAAGGTGAGAAGGTCAAGTTTTAACATTAGAGGCCTAGCGAATATACAATCTTGGTGACAATTTAAGAGCCAAGAGTCATTTCTAAGAGCCAAAAATAAACCCTCTTCTGTTTGCTAAACATAAATGGATATGTTCCTCATTAAGGTATCCTGCCACACAGCTTGAATCTGGAATTTTAACTGGGATCTTTGGTCTTTGAACCCCTTGAAATTTTATGCAAAATTGTGTGTGTGTGCACATGTGCACACAAACACAGGTTGAAAACCACTGCCTAAGCAATGGGGAGCAGATAAAACCTGCGAGCTATTCCAAGGAGCAACAGCCACTTTCAAAATTGTCCTCCTTTTGAGACAGACTCAATATCCATCATTGTACAGTATATCCCATTAACATCTACAACAAAGTAGCAGCAAGTGCATAGCACACCACAAAGTAAATACCTATGCCAGGGGATAGCACGTATTTAGTCCATTTTAGCAGTGGAACTTTTTCCCATAAAAATCCTCCCTTAAGCCAAGTATATAAAACAGACTTTCTAGACAAATAAGTTCTACTGGTAGTTTACATTTTCACTGATTCACAGAAAAGACATGTTTTGCAGAAAATCTGAAGCATACATGAGGGTCCCTAGAGTCACTTGGAAGACTAGATTGCTAAGATAACGGAGAGCAATCCTACTATAGATTCACATTCTCCAATCTCAGTTGCAGCTTACCTCTAGCTGGCTTCCTTCCCCTTCCCCACAATGGCTATCTCATTCTTCATATAAGTCCTACCTGATCCCCATTCCCTTACTTTCTGGAGAGCATATAGACTTCTTCACCAAGAAAGTCAGGCCTAACAATGGAATTGCTTAGACTTTTTTCCTCTTTCCTCAGGCTTTCTCTATATCTGCACTCATTCTAAACTCCTTCTCTATTATCTTAGTTTTTTCCCCTCTTCAGCTACTCAAATATCACCTTCATGTTTTTTTCAATATATTTTTGCCATATCAGTACTAGTATTACTTAATAGTTTTCTTTATATCAATTCATTTGATTTACTTACATACATTGAAACTTTTTTCATTAAAACCTTTTTCATGAAAAATTTTAAACATACAAAAAGTAGAAAATACTGTAAAAAGCCCCATGTACTCTTCAACTTCAAAAATTATCAACTCATAACCAGTCATTTTTTTATTTATACCCACCCACCTGCCCCCATCCCAAATATTTTGGAAAAAAAAAATCCCAGTCATCATATAATTGCAACAATAAAGACTTCAGTATGTGTCTCTGGAAAGGTAAAAACTTTTTAGACATACTTTTGTTTTGAAATTAGCAAATAAGGAAAAAGGACAGGTACAGAATAAGGAAGGACCATAGTCTAGAGAGAATAACAACGTCTACAGTGTGAGAAGGAACTAGAAATGAGACAGGGAGAGAAAAGTAGGATAAAAGTTGGCAAGTCAAGTCTCCAAGGATTGAGAACAATACAACCAATGCCAGGAAACTGGTGGGTACAGATAAAGGCTCTGATACATGAAGTTCGGTGGAAATTTGGGGAAAATGGATATGCCACTGGTGGATGGGAAATACAACCACAAATAGGGATGGGAAGAGTGGAAACTGGGGAACTGGTTCAGGCCTAGGAACTGACACTGGGTGCTAGGTAAGTGATCCTGCAGTTGGAGAAACACCGAAGAGAACTGGGAAAATGGGGTTGAGAAGGAAAAGAATGTAGGAGCTGAGGGAACAGAGAGACTGGGAAAGGCATAGCTGCAGACTGAGATTAAAATGGGGTACTAATTTGGAAAGGGTATGTTAGGAATGTAGGCTAAGGTGGTCTTGAGGAGGGACACTGGGTGTTTTAAGAGAGGGGAAGCTGAAGACTGGCGGGGGGACAAAGAAATAAAGGCTGTATATTGGTTGAGGGCTGAGGAGAGGTATAGAGTATGTGACTATCTACCCTAAATGGGTTGTGATATTGGCCTCAGGCAAAATAACTTCTGCACACCACCAGTGATTTCCTTTCTGATAAACTCAGAGACCTTAGCCCTCACACACATTTCTCTGCAGCATTTCACTGTCTTGATCACCATCTCTTTCCATTCCAACTTTGAGTTTCATGATACTCTAGTTTTCCACCTTTGGATTTGCATTCTACCTTCAACTTGTACCTCTCAAGATCCTTACGTGGCTCAGCCTCCTCTTCTATCTCCCTTCCAAGGCAACATTCATCAGGTTTATATATATACTGATCAATCTTATCTATTCTCATCCCTATGTTGGTTCCCAAGTCTACATCTCTAGCACTATCCACCATCTTGAGCCCAGGATGCAAATTTCTAACTACATATTGTATAAATGACTCCATATTGGTGTGCTGCAGATATCTTAAATCCATGGTATTCAGAAACTATTTTTTTTTAGCTCCACAATTCTATTCATCCTCCCATTTTCCTTGTCTTGGTCATAACAACTCCAATCATCCATTTGCTAAATGAGAAACCTTAGTATCAGTTGTGATTACTCTTCCTTCACCATCTGGAGTAGGCATGTTTGTGGTCACCAGCATTCTTTTGAATGTCTATTCTACATTTGAGAAATTCTTCAAACCATCCAAAATGGAAGCTAGAACCTCTTTTTCCTAGTTTCCATTACAGCTAGGGTTCAGTGAGGAAGGCACAGCTGTGCAGTATGCACTTTCATGAGGTCAGATGTAGAGATGTGCAGTTTGGGGCAAGCAGTGGTGGAGGTTCTGGTATCCCAAGTCCAGCATCAATGGTCACTTGTGGTATGAAATGCAGTGTCCAGTGGTGCCAACAGTGGACTCTTCACCATAGAAGCCCGAGGGTATGGTGTGACCATAGTTCCTGGCTGCATGGCTCCCAGGCCTAACTCTATAGATTTTCCGGAAATCTGTGATCTGGGAAATATCCTTCCATAATCTTTTTTCTACTTTATTAGCTGAGGATGTTCCTTTGCAACTGAGGATGTTCCTTGCAACTAGCACCTTGACACCTAAGTTGCCCCAGTTTCCTACAATCAGTTACTAAGTTTTGTCTTCTGGATATACAGAAATATTCTGATGTTAAGTCTTTTCTTTCCTTTCCCATTGCATTCATCTTCATTCTAGCTTCATCATCTGCCTCAGCTCCCAGGCCCACTTGCTTCAGAACATTTTGCAATGTATATTCCTTTGATGATATCTCCCATGGAACTCATCACTCCATTAACTGTGCCTTAAACATACAACAATTGTAGCATTGACCCCACTTCTTTGGAGTTATTTGCTTAAATCACTATCTCAGTCTGTCAGGTTGAAACTTAAAAAAAAAACACAGATTGGGTAGTTTATAAATAATAGAAATTAATTTTTCAGTTTTGGAGGCTAAAAGTGTGAGATCAGAGTGTCAGCACGGTTGCGTGAGGAAATTCTTCCAGATTTCTGACTTCTTGTGTCCTCATATTGTGGAAGGGCTGAGGGAACTCTGTAGAGTTTCTTTATAACTGTACTAATTCCATTCAAGAAGGCTCCACCCTCATGACCTAATCACCTCCCCAAAGCCTTACCTCCTACTAACACATCACAGTGGGTATTAGGACTTCAACATATGAATTTGGGGGTCGGGAAACACAAACATTCAAACCAAAGCAATCACTGTTTGCCCATTAGCCTAGGAGTTAATGCAGTGTGGGCTTAGTAGAAAGAGCACAAGTTCTGATATCAGGCAATGAAAAAATTTCCTTAACCTCTCTAATTCTCAGTTTTCTGGTGATAATGAGAATAATTAGTGAAAGCAGATTCAGCAATGAATCAAAGACACAATTATTATAGATTTCATTCTCGTAGGTACTGTCACACAAGCTTCCATCTATACCAGAACAGCTGCAGAATCATCTATGGTGTGAGCTAATGTGGGGCTCAAGTCTTGCTTGCTCCAGGTCCAGCCTAGCAATGAATAAGCTATGTCCCTCAGCTCCAACCTCCCTGCCTGGCCAACTTCCTATCCTTCCTATGCCCCAGGAGTGTGCTCACTAGACCTTTCACAGTCCACTGATATCACACTGTACTGATTGAGCTTCACCACTGGGAACCTTTCCTATAGGGCAGTAGAATAATAATTGAAATAACGAGTATAAACACTTGGCAAGGTACCCGACCTGTGGCAAGCAGCACTCAACAAATAGTGACCATTATCATTATTCCTTCTGAGCAGAGATACATTCTCTTTGCATTCCATCAGCACCCAGAACAGTAAGTCATGTAAATTGCACTTGCTAAAAATTTAAAGAATATATAAACTTCTGACCAAATTCTGATTTAAACATTTTTTTTTTTTTTTATTTGTCAGAGAGAGAGAGAGACCACAAGTAGGCTGAGAGGCAGGCAGAGGCAGAGGGAGAAGCAGGTTCCCTGCCGAGCAAGGAGCCGGATGTGGGACTCGATCCCAGGGTGCTGGGATCATGACCTGAGCCGAAGGCAGCCGCTTAACCAACTGAGCCACCCAGGCGTCCCCCAAATTCTGATTTTATTGGAATAGAATGGCTTCCTCTCCCCCAGCCCTTACTTTGTTCATTTAGCAAAATTCTACCTAGCTTTCAACATCCACTGCAACTTGCACTCCTATTACAAAGCCTTTCTCATGACCCCTGGTCAGGATTACTCATTATTTCCTCTAGATTCTCCAAGCTCTTTCTTTATAGGTGATACAGAACCCATCACAAGGTTCATAACTTGATTTACAGTTATTGACTTGTTGATAGATTGATATATCTCTCTAATTAAGCAGATATTGATTGGGGACAATGACCTATATCACTCTCTTTTGTAAGATTCATAGTACCCATGACAGTTGATTTTATGTGTGAATGGCTAGACCATAGTACCAAGGCATTTGGTCAAACACTAGTCTGGACATCGCTGAGAAAGTATGCTTTAGATGAGATTAACATTTAAACCAGGATATTTTGAGCAAACCAGATTACTCTTCATAATGTGGATGGGTCTCAACCAACCAGCTGAAGGTCTTAACAGAAAAAAGACGGACTTTCCCACAAGCAAGAGGGAAGGCAGCCTACAGACCACATTCAGACTCAAGCCTCAACATCAACTCTTCCCTGGGTCTCCAGCCAACCTGAGTTTTTGGACTTGCCACCCTTCACAATCTAATTCTTTCTTTTAATTAATAAAAAATTTTTAAGAGAGGGAGAGAAGTGGGGAGGGGCAGTAGGAGAGGAAAAAGAGAGAATCTTAACTAGACTCCCCACCCAGCACAGAGCTCAATGCAGGGCTCTATCTCCCAACCCTGAGATCATGACCTGAGCCAAAATCAAGAGTCAGACACCTAATCAACTGAGCCACCCAGGCACCCCCACAATCTAACTCTTTAAAATAACCTAGATAGATAGATGGTAGATAAGTAGATAAACTGATCAATCTTAAAGGTTGGGTGGGGGGATGTGTGTAGATAAACATATCTACATATATTTTATATATCTCCCATTGATTCTGTTTCTCTGAGAACGCTAGCTGATACAATCTCTCTCCAGTATGTGCTCTCCCATGGAAGAGGTGCAGTAACTACTTCATGAATGGATGGAGCTGGAAGTGAATGAATGAATGAAGTGAAAAACAGGAGATGAAAACTGCTGAAGAATGTGAGGCAATTGAGTACAGGGACTAGGAGAGCAGGGAAAGGCTTAGTAGGGTGGACAGTACCCTGAGGGTAAGGGCTCAGAAGTTCCACCTCTTATTCAGTTTTCCTAGACAAAGCCCAAGGAAGACAGTGATTGTTCAGTAATGAAGACGGTATGTGAGGCCAGAAGTTCTTTTGGCTGAATCTTGAAAAGACCAGGGTTCAGACAGGGTAGTGGTGAAGGAACTCCAAAGCAGTGGATCAGTGCCCAGCAAATGCTGGAGCCTGCCTAAAATGATCACATAATTGTTATCTAGTTGTGCACCTAAGTTCAGTAGCACAGGCCAGTCCCAGCCCTCCGTCCTTTCCATACTGTGCTCCCCTTTTTGTTCATCAAACCTATTGTGTTGCCTACATCTTCCTTCATACTCTCCCTGACACCTTTATACCCAGAGCCCCTTATCTCTCATTACCATATACCAACCTTGGTGGCCAGTCAGCCACTTTGGGCTTCCCAGCATTGCCCAGACTGGGCCACATTTAAAAGCCATGTCATTCTCTAGTTTCTGCAAATACAGGAACTATATAAGCAGGTTTTTAAAAAGGAAAACTATAAAATATGGACAGTAAATTACATTGCTTCTTTCCCCTCCCATTGAAAAATGGCAGGCTGCTTAAGTGGTTTGGAGCTCAGTCAGTGTTTCAGATTAAAGGGAGTTGAATGTAAACCTCACATTACTTCTAGAGCATGAAAAAGATAGAACCTTAAATAGTCCCCATAACTGACAGAGGGAAAGGGGGGGGTGACTGTCAGTCGTTAATGCTATTTTTGTATTTGTATATAGATGGAAGGTCTCTGGAGCTTTTTAAAGTGCAAGTATGCCCATTTTAAAGCAAGCCAATTAAAAAAAAAAAATCCAGTCTAGCAAAACAGATGAATTAGTAAGTGGTTCTCCATACTATGAAAGAATTCTCTCCAAAAGCAATTAAGACAGTCTCTATGATTATTAATGGTTTAAAAGTCTACCACAAATGTGTTTCTAATGATCCATCAGAAAAGTATTTCCCTTATTGAAGGGACCCGGTAATTATTTAGAGACTATGATGAGCTGTATCCATACTGCATTATTTAAAACCTATATTTACTGGAAACCTATATTGGGCAAAAGATTTCCCTATACATATACAAATGGCCCCTCTTGTCAGATTGAATTGTAAAAGGAAAATTAAAAGCAAATAACAAATGTAATTTAGGAATGAAATTATTTGAAATTCAAAGTAATATTCCTATGTACCCATTTTCAAACAGCATTGACTTTAAAGAAAAATTGAGTGCTTGATATTACGAAAGACTTGAATACAGAATTTGTTCATTCCTTGGGTATATTGTGATTCCCTGGTACCTCTAAAGCACTGTGCTATCCTCTAAAGTGCATATGAGATGAAGATGATGTTATCCCTCCAAGAAAGTTGGAGAAATAAACCATTCATATGAACCACTTAAGAAATGAGGTCAGAAATCATACAGTTGCCACATAGAGAGTTACAGATGGCAAGTACAACAGGAAACGGGAGACCAGGATGGGCTGAAGTGGTAAGAGATATGAAACTTGAGCTTGCTGTTGAAGGAGACAGATGAGAGGAAGAACAGCAAGAATCTGCTCCTAAGCAGGCTTGAAACAAGTCCAAGGAGACTTAAAAATGGGAGGGAAAAAGGGGCAAAGTGCAGAGATAGAAGGGAAGAAATGGAACTACCTAGAGAAGCTATCATCAAATAGCAGGCAATGGAAACAAATGGAACAATACAGAGTCAGAGGGATCATAATCATATGAGATCAAACTCCACAGTAGCAAAAGGCAGCCAGGTGGGCTCTCATGGCCCTATTGTTCAAGCTGATTCTATGCGGTTGAAAATCTATATATAACCTTGACTTCCCAAAACTTAACTACTAAGAGCCTGCTATAGACTGGAAACCTTCCATTAAACATAAATAGTCAATTATATATTTTGTATGTGATCTGCCTTATACATTATATTCTTATAATAAAGAAGAGAAAATGTTAATAACAAAATCATAAGAAAATACATTTATATACTGGGCTGTATTTATTTTTAAAAATTTGTATAAGTGGACTATGTAATTCAAACCCATGCTGTCCAAAAGTCACCTGTACTATACCCTGACAGTGTCCAAGTAACATTTGAACCTTTTCACGATGAACCTTGTTTGAAACTCTAAAGAGTTCTCCATTAATTTGCCAGCACTAACAGTTTTATCACAAAATGCTTAACAAAGTGCTAACAGCAATGTAAACGGTCTATCCTGTTCTCATGCTCATTACACTCATGAAGTGTTCTCTCTACACCTAGGATAGATTTCCTTAATGCAGCCCCTGACTCCATTGAATTCTCCTCCAAGTGTTGGAAACTTTATCCATGTTCATCTGAGGGATAATATGTGCTATTTCACTAAGTCATAGTAAGGTGGCAGATTTTGAGCAAGATCTGTAAGTTTATTGCCTTAAAAATAAATGTTTAATTTCCACAGCAGTGTCAGAGGTAAGAGTTATCCTGGTACCAAAAAAAAAAAAAAAAAAAAAAAAAGAGTTATCCTGGCACCTGGCACCAAAAGAACTCTCTCTGGCAGCTGGCTGAGGGACTAAAGCAAAGTTTAAAAGATCCAGGGCTAGAGGGTGGAAGACAATTCACTCTGTATACCAAATATCCCAGTTATATTTCTAGATCATGGTTCCCATAACACTTCATACTTTAAAAATTCTTTCTTTTACCTTGTCTCATGTTCTAAATGCTTTAAAATAAAACACCCTTGAAAACTAGAAAATACTAATTTGCTTTATCATGGTATAATATATATACAGTATAAACCACAAATCTTAGAGCATACAACTCAGTGAATTCATATATTTAAATACAAACACACACACACACACACACACACACACACACACACACATGCATAACCCTATGCAAGCACCACTCCAAATTGCAATATAAAGCATTTCCAGTACCCCAAAGACTCTCTTGTACTCCTCCCCTCAATAATTCTTTTCCTCATAGCACTGAAACTTTTTTAAAAATAAAAATTAAAGTTAGAGACAATAACTCTCAGCTATACTCAATCCACTAATGTTTGGGGATGTTTATTTCAAAATTTCAGTTTTAACAAGTAGTGATATGCTTTCAAAGTTTCAAGAAGTAGTGGAAAAACGGGAAAAAAGATTACCAGTGATCATGGTTTCTCCAGGAAAAAATGTACTACCCCTCTCATCAAACCCTAGCCTTTTGAGTTCACTCATTAGGAATTTCTTTAAAATACTTTTAGAAGAAAATCATATGTAAGAAATGTTGATAACAGGAAAAACAAGTACCGGGAGACAATTATTAGCCTTTAAAAAAATTTAACCCAGGAATATACCCCACGATATAGCCATCACCAACATATGAGGTCAGCAGAAAAAGTACAAAGGGAATTGAGCAAGGGGATAGCTGGCTTGGTTATTTTTTCCTTTTTCTGTTGTTGTTGTTAATTTTTATGCTTTTAACTTTAGTCTTGTTTAGCATAGAAATAGTATACCAGCATAGATGTCACTGAGGGCAAGACTCAGAAGCAAAAAACAATTCCCAGAAAAGGGAATTTCATACTTTTCTGAGAAAGTTAGACTGGGTTATTTCAGGAAACTATAGACTTATGACTATTTAAATAGTTAAGCAAGTGTTGTTCCCCCCCCGCACCCCCTGTAGGCCACATAACACAAACCACAGACAATAAATATCACTTGTGAAAATCAGGCAGAACGAAGAGAAGTTTTACAAATGCAACAAACTATAGACAGATAGCACCAAGAGACCTCACCACAATAACTACCTCCATGGTCAGGTTTTGAAGTACATTCTGCATTTAGCGAAGGCTGAAGTCCTTAAATTTAATCATCATCAATTTACTGAAAATACAAAGATGAAATCTTTATGAGAGCTACAGTTACATACTTTTGCCCATCACTCAACAGCTGTCTATGGTACCGTAATGGCTGTGTTATTTGCAATATGCACCATATGACCAAAGCTAGCTTTGAGCAAAGCAACTTAGATAAAAGCTTGAGACCCTGAGTTTAGGAGGGTCTTTAACTTTTTCCACTCCCTGACATAATTTCTATTTAATGTTCACTATTGCCCATGGCAACAAGAGGTAAGAGAACTAAGCCTAGCCTCCAACTACCATGTAACCAGTAGCATCAAAAAATACTGGAATCAAAACAGAAAAAACTACTGTTCCTTTGCTATCATTTTCTTTCTCATTCTCATGGCCAATAGGACATGTCAGGTTCAATTATAAAAGGAAAATTAGAAGTAAATAAAAAATATAATTTTAAGAATGGGATTATATGAGATTCAAAATAATATTCTTATGTATCCATTTTCACATGTATTAACTTTAAACAAAAAACTGAGTGCTTGATATTTTCTCCTCTGTTAGCTGGTCATAAGGACCTTTGTCCCAGCAGCACTTTGTGTGAACTGAGAAAGAAGTCTCAGTGCAACAATACTGAATGGCATAGGTTTCATTAATATACAACTTTTATTGACAATTCCTGGGCTCACCAGCTTTTAGAGTTGGTTGTGTGATCCAATAATAGGCAATTCTGGCTGCATGGTCATTTGGTATCCCATAGTCTAGAGCCCAGTAGCACCCCAGGAGCTCTTCATTGGATGGTGTACAGTTCTCTAGATGGCATGTGCTAGGGGTCTGCATTGTGATTCTCCTTAGGTGGTTGTTAAAGACTGAATGCTTGTGTCCCTCAAAAGTTATATGTTGAGGCCCTAATACTCAGTGGGACTATATTTGGAGATGGGTCCTTTAAGCAAGTCATTAAAGTTAGATAAGGTTATGAGGTTGGATCCCTGATATAATAGGATTAATGTCCTCTTAAGAAGAGATACCAGAGGGGTGCCTGGGTGGCTCAGTGGGTTAAAGTCTCTG